CAAAAGACATCAAAGAGGAGATTAAGAAATTCTTAGAGATAAGTGAGAACACTGATACAATATATCAAAATCTCTGGGACACTATGAAGGCAGTACTACTAACAGGAAAGTTCATTGCATGGAGTTCATTCCTTAAAAGAAGAAAAAGTCAGCAAATAAAAGACCTAACATTATATATCAGAGCCCTAGAAAAAGAAGGACAAATCAACACCAAAAACAGTAGAAGACAGGAAATATTTAAAATCAGAGATAAAATCAATGAAATTGAAAGAAACGAAACAATTGAAAACAAAATGTTGGTTCTTTGAAAAAATAAATAAAATTTATAAACTATTAGCCATGCTAACAAAGAGAAAGAGAAAACTCAAATTATTAACATTTGTGATGAAAGAGGAAATATCACAATGGACATTACAGAAATATAGAAGATAATTAGAAACTATGTTGAAAATTTGTACTCCAATAAAACACAAAATATTGAAGCCATCAACAAATTTCTAGAGTCATGATTTTCCCAAACTGACAGAATGATATACACCAGTAAAACAGATCAATTTCAAGCTATGAAATTGAAGACTCCATCAGAAGCCTACCAACCAAGAAAAGCCCAGGAACAGATGGATATACAGCTGAGTTCTACAAGACCTTCAAAAAAAAATAAAACTAATACCAATACTCCTTAAATTTATTTCATGAAAGAGGAAACACTTCCAAATTCATTCTATGAGGCCAATATCACTCTGATTCCAAGACTAGACAAAGAGACATCAAAAAAAGAAAACTTTAGACCAATATCTCTAATGAATATAGATGCAAAAATTCTTAATAAAATTCTGGCAAATCAAATACAAAAAAAATGTATCAAAAAGATAGTGCACCACAATCAAGTGGGGTTCACCCCAGGGACGAAAGTTTGGTTCAACATACAGAAATCAACAAATGTAATTCATCACATCAATAGACTTAAAGATAAGAATCATATGATCATCTCAATAGATGCAGAAATAGCATTTGACAAAATACACCACATCCTCATGTTCAAAACACTAGAAAAACTAGGAATAACAGGAACATGCTAAGCCCAAGACCAACTTCATTCTAAATGGAGATAATTGAAAGCATTCCCTCTAAAACCTGGAACAAGACAGGGATGCCCTCTTTCACTGCTTCTATTTAACACAGTTTTCTTGAAACTTTAGCCAGAGCAATTAGACAGTTGAAAGAAATTAAAGGGATATGGATAGGAAAAGAAGAACTAAAATTATCACTATTTGCCAACAATATGATCTTTCTATACCTACAAGATCAAAAAAATTCTACCAAAAAACTTCTAGAATTAATAAATGAATTCAGCAAAATAGCAAAACATAAAATCAACACCCATAAATCAAAGCTATTTCTTTCTGTACATCAGGGACAAATTCTCTGAAAGATAAACTAGGAAAACTACTCCCATTTAAATAGCCTCAAAATAAATAAAATACTTGGGAATTAATGAAAGAGATGAAAGACCTCCACAATGAAAATTACAGAATGCTAAAGAAAAAAACTAAAGAAGACCTTAGAAATGGAAAGATCTACCTTGTTCTTGGATAGACAGAATTAATATAGTCAAAATGACCATACTATCAAAAGCATTATACAGATTTAATGCAATTCCAACCAAAATTCCAGTGAAATTCCTCATGAAATAGAAAAAGCAGTCATGAAATTCATCTGGAAAAATAACATAGCTAAAGCAATCCTTAGCAAGAAGAGTGAAGCAGGTGGCATCACTATACCAGACCTTAAACTATACTACAGAGCAATAGTAACAAACAGCATGGTATTGACACCAAAATAGACTTGTAGGTTAATGGTAAAGAATAGAGGACACAGAGATTAACCCACATAAATACAGTTATCTCATATTAGACAAAGGTGCCAAAAACATATACTGGAGAAAGGATAGCCTCTTCAACAAATGGGACTATGAAAACTGGAAATCTATATGCAACAAAATGAAATTAAGCCCTGTCTCTCACCATGAACAAAACTCAACTCAAAGTGGATCAAGGACCTAGAAATTAAAATAGAGACCCTGCACCTAAGAGAAGAAAAAAGTAAGCCCAAATTTTCATTGTGTCAGATTATTCCCCAATTTTCTTAATAAGAGTCATATAGTGCAAGAATTAATATCAAGAATCAATGAATGGGATGGATTCAAACTAAAAAGCTTCTTCTCGGCAAAAGAAACAATAAGTGAGGTGAATAGAGAACCTACAGAATGGGAGCAAATTTTTACCAATTCCAATTAAAATTCCAATGACATTCCTCATAGAAATAGAAAAGGCAGTTATGAAATTCATCTGGAAAAATAAGAGACCCAGAATAGCTAAAGCAATCCTTAGCAAAAAGACTGAAGCAGGTTAGATAGAGCACTATTCTATAGGATATATAAAGAACTCAAAAATCTTAACACCAAAGAAACAAATAACCCAATCAATAAATGGGCCAAGGAATGGAAGAGACACTTCTCAGGATATACAATCAATCAACAAATATATGAAAAAAATGTTCAACATCTCTAGCAATTAGAGAAATGCAAATCAAAACTACTCTAAGATTTCATCTTACTCCAGTCAGAATGGCAGCTATTAAGTATAAAAACAACAATGAGTGTTGGTGAGGATGTGGGGGAAAAGGCACACTCATACATTGCTGGTGGGACTGCAAATTGGTTTAGCCAATTTGGAAAGCAGTATGGAGATTCCTTGGAAACTGAGAATGGAACCACCATTTGACCCAGCTATTTCACTCCTCAGTATTCCACTCCTCATTCTATAAGGAATTAAAAACAGGGACACAGCCACATCAATGTTAATAGCAGCACAATTCACAATACCTAAACTGTGGAACCAACCTAGATGCCCTTCAGTAGATGAATGGATAAAGAAAATGTGGTATATATACACAGTGCAATATTACTCAGCAATAAAAGAGAATAAAGTCATGGCATTTGCAGATAAAGGGATGGAGCTGAAGAATACGGTGCTAAGTGAAGTAAGCCAACCCCCCCCCAAAAAAAAAACAAATGCCAAATGTTTTCTCTGATATAAGGATGCTGATTCATAATGGGGTTGGGGAGGGGAAGCATGGGAGTAATAGATAAATTATAGATAGGGCAAAGAGAAGGAAAGGGAAGGGAGTGGGCAGGGGGGTAAAAAGACGATGGAATGAGATGGTCATCATTACCCCATGTACATGTATGAAGACACAAATGGTGTGACTCTGCTTTGTGTACAACCAGAGACATGAAAAATTGTGCTCTATATGTATACTATGAATTGAAATGCATTCTGCTGTCATATATAACAAATTAGAATAAATTTCTTTTAAAAATTAACACAAATTTTAATGAGACATGATGAATATACATACATACATACATACATACATAGAGCTCACATAAAATTGATAATATCTAAATTTTAAAAATATAGAAGACTAATAGAAGAAAAAATATTGAAAGGTCAATAGATACATGTTTGGCTCATCTCTACAAAAATTCAACTTAATGTAATAGTGCCAACCATTTTAATTGATCAAACTAAAATTTAAAGTAATTATAAAAATAGAATACTCAGGGTAGGAAAAAACTTTCTTATATAACATAAAAAGCATGAATCTTAAAGAAGAAAAGGTGATATATCAGACCATATTACATTTAAGAACTCTGTTTACCAAAAGACAATATTTAAAGAATGCAATGACAATCAGAAATGGGAAAAAAATATTTGCCATAAAAATAACCAACAAATTTAAGAGCTTATAGAAATTAATGAGAAAGAAGCAGACAAAGTGGAAATCTAATGGTTAATAAATATATGAAAAAGCAATCGTGTTGGTAATGAAGAAAAAGAAAACTCGGATCCAACAGGGTCATACTATATATGCACAAGGATGACTAAAATATGAAAGTAACATAATAATACTAAGTGCTTGGGTTGAACTTCTGATAGTATAACCATTTTAGGAAACCAGTTGAGCCCCAAAGTTGCACATCTGCAAACTCTATCAACCAGACATTTTACGTACAACAGAAATGTTGTATTAGTACCAATGACATGCACAAGAATGTTCAAGGGAACAATATTCATCATTGAAAGCTGGACTCAAAATTCATCAACAATAAAATGGATAAGTAAATTGTAATGTATAGTGCACCACATTCAGTGAAAGAAGCTAGACCTGGATGAACACTATCATATAATTCCATTTATGTAACATTAAACAAAAATAGGTAAACCTCAACTAAGAATGTTTAGAGATGTACACTTGTGTGCTGCAACTATAAAAAACTATAAGGGAGTCTCTTTGTCTCTCTAGAAGAGACAAGACAAAGATCCAGAGGTTTTCAGAGTGCTGAAATGTCCTTTTGACCCAGTGATGGTTACAGGGATATTCACATGATGATTAGTCATTAAGATGCACATTGCCTTTTCATTTGATTTTTCTGGATGCATGTTTACTACATGACTAGGGTATAATGAATTCCACTATTATGTGTAATTATAATGCACCAATTAAAAAAATTGTAAGGGAAGAGATGAATAGACCTGACTATATGCACATTTTATACTTCTTCAAAGTAGAGCTCAGGTTAAAAGGAAAACAACATATACAAGATACATTAAGATTTTAAAATATATATATATATATAAACCATTCTTTGTATTCAGAGGATATGTTTTTAAAGGAAATTTGATAAAGAAAAATATAGGTGATGGCCAATGCTTTAGAAATTTACAATGTAACTAGTATTTAGGAAATACAGACAAAATAACTCAGTTTTCATTTATGCCTGTTAAGTTATTCACTACCATCCATCAGGTGGCACTGAAAATTGATTAATTGTTTCTAAGGGGTTATTGATGTATTTCAAGCAATTTTATTTCCTGAAAATGTATTTCAAAGAGTAATAATTTCAAAAATAAGATCACACCCAAAGTAATTCTTACCTTGCTTGCAAATTTTGGGGTTCTATATTTAACAAAGCTGTAAAATCCTGTATGGCTGAAGTCCAATTTTCATTTTCATAGAAAAACATCCCACGTTTCAATAATGCATCTACTCTTTGGGGATCATAAAAAATACACTATAGGGGCATGGAGAGGTATATAGACATGTTACATGCTTTAAAAGCTACATACATAGTCACATAACAAATTTAGATTACATAAAAGAAAATCACACTTTGAGATACCAAAATTTTCACATTTACATTTAAAGACTATATTAAGAAACCCATCCATCATCTTGAAAGGGAATATCTTTAAAATAGTTTTTTTAAAAAAGAAACAGCATGTATAAGAAGCCAAGTCTTTTGCCCACTGAAATTTTTACTGACAATAATTCATAAATGAATTGTTCAACTAGAATTGGGC